CTAAGAGATAAACTAATCTTGTCTAAAAGACAGAATTGATCTTACTCAAAGAGATTAAAGATATATATAATCACTATCTAAGCGCTGCTTGACTAAGTCAGTTACCAGTAGTCACCACAGGAGCAAATGCCATGCTGAAAATGATGGAACCGGTTTATATCTCTGATAACAATTTCTCGCTTCACAATTTTTGATATCAACTTTATAGCAGCGTGACAATCTACACAAATCCGAAGATTTTTAATGATACGAATAGAAGATGCAGGTGGAATATGTATCAGTCCAAAAGCCAGTGCCAGTCTTTCACTGTGCGCCCACAAGAGACGTTCCTTTTCATCATCCTCCACATTAAGCAGAACAACACTACAATCAGGAACATACCCTGCCTCCCTGCTTTTCTTGTTTAACCATTCAAGCATTGCATATATTAGTTTAATTTCGGGATGAGAGGTGTCTCCGACAGTGAAATAATGAACTACACCTTGGTTCTCAACCCAGCTTAATCCTGGTTCCTTTTTTACTTTTATCCTTTTCATGTTTTTTCTAACAGAAGCAACTCTGTCCCATCTCCTTTCAGTGGCATACATGTTTGACAGAAGTACATGAGTTGCATCATCATGGGGCTCCATCTCAAGTACGTGCTTTGCACAAACCTTACCTAGATCAAGATTCTTATGGATAACACAAGCACCAAGCAGTGCACGCCACACCATAACACTGGGCTGAAATGGAATTTCTCCAATGAGGTTCTTTGCTTCATCAAATTGGCCTAATCTTCCAAGAAGCCAAACCATGCAAGTATAATGTTCTATGCATGGTTCAATGCCATAATCCTGTAACATTGACCTAAAATGAGTTCGTCCTTTGTCTAACAACCCTGCATTGCTACATGCAGAAAGGACACCAACAAAAGTGAGTTTATTTGGTTTACAATTGGTTTTTTGCATCATATCAAATAAGTTTAGAGCCTCCGTACTCAAGCCATGCATAGAATAACCACAGATTATAGCATTCCACGAAACTTCATTTCGTTTATTCATCTTATCAAATGTTAGCCTGGCATCATCAATTCTACCACATTTAGCATACATGTCTATCAAAGAATTTGCAACCACACTATCCTTGTTATACATGGTTTTGATGGTTAAGGAATGAATTTGACGCCCTGGCTCTAATGAAACTAAACTGGAAGAGGCACGCAGAACACTTGAGTATGTCACTTCTGTTGGCTGTATATCATATCCAAGCATGTTTGAAAATAAATTTAAAGCTTTCTCCCCATCCCCTAACTGAACATAACCAACAATTATAGTATTCCAAGTTACCTCGTTTTTCTCTTCCGACCTAATGAATAATTTGACAGAGTTTTCAATTTCACCACACTTGGCGTAAACATCCATGAGGGCATTTGACACAAACACATTTGAGTCAAGACCCACTTTCAGTACAGAAGAATGAATTTGTTTTCCCAAATTCAACGAAACCAGAGACGCACAAGCTTGCAGCACACTAGCAAAAGTAAAATTATTAGGGACAACAGATGATTGCCTCATTCGACAAAACAACTCCAAAGCCTCCCTACTATTTTCACTTTGAGCATATCGCGCTATCATGAGACTCCATGGAATAAGATCATCTTTGGGCATTTCCTCGAAAAGCCGCTGTGCCTCAGCAATCTCTCCAGACTTGGCATACAGCTCTAGCAACGCAGTACCAACATAAAGATCCCTATCATAACACGCTTTCAAAGCACATCCATGAACACTTTTCCCAACCTTAAATGCTTCTAGACCAAGACAGGACTTCAGCGCAGCAGAAATCGTAAAATTATTTGGTGCGTACCCCATAGTCCTCATCTTGCAGAAAAGTAGCAATGCATCCTCATGGAAATAATTCTCAGCATAGCAAGCTACCATTCCAGTCCAAGACACCATGTCCTTACAACAAATGCCATCAAAAACTGCACGTGCAGCACCAACATTTCCACAGACAGCATAGGCACTAAGTAGTGCAGTCCCAACGTACGCATCAGAGTGATGACCAAGCTTATAAACATATGCATGCACACTCCAAGATGTATCAGCCAGCTCCATTCTCACCAGCAACTTGAGAAGTGTCGTGAAAACAAACTGGTTCACCTCGTATCCTTCTCTGAACAACCTGTGTTCATCAATTGGATTGAATCATCTTCGAAAAGAAAAACCTTCACATTCAATTTAATCCATAAAGCCACTTGGATTGCAAATATCAGGGTCTTTTGGGTGAATTAGGGAATCCCTCGGTGCGGACCAAGGACTAATCCTTGAGATATTAAGACTCATTTACGGGGTTAACCTCTCCCAACAAATGTTTTTTCTATACACACATACCAGAGATCAAACCAGACCAACCATGCCACTCAAAGCATCTCATCGTCTATAAGTCATTACATGTCCAATAGTAGTATAAACCCTTACAAATATACTATTAAAATAAACTTATGCAGTTTGATAATAATATTCATAGTCACACTCAAACAATTACCAAAAACTATCTATAATTAAATATAATTTCATAAAAAATATAAATTGCGACGAAAATTTAAAAATGAAAACATGAATTATATAAACTCAGGAGTGATTCTGTGAGTCATCAACAAATCAATGATAATTCACACAAATAACATGCATTAAAAAAATTTTACAAAAAATCCGAAATCAATGCAGTAAAAATAAAGTTCCGGTTATGGGGGTTTATGGGGTCCTTTATTTTTTATTGGATTGATTTACTAAGGACCCCACTAGCAAGCAGCAAACTTCCTAACTGGTGACTAGCGACCTAACTAACTAACTAGCAACTGGAATCGTGAAGATGCGTACCTGAGAAGCAAGTGAAGGGCGTGATGAAATTGGCCTGAACTGGAGAAGCCATTAGCCAAGGTGACGAAAGAGGCAGTGTTAATGAGAGGCATTTCATCGAACAGTTTGGTGGCGTCATCGAAGGAGTGGAAGTGGACGTAAGTATTGAGAAGAACGTTTTGGGCGAAAAGGTCCAAAGGGGCGCCTCGCTTGAGAATGTGGCAGTGGAAGCTCTTCCCTGAGTTGGGGTTGCGATTTTGGATAGCTTGTTGGAGCATGGTGGCGTAGGAATAGGAATCGAACGCATCTTGGTGATGGAAATGAGTGGAATAGAAGCAGTGGGTGATACTTTTGGCCTTGCCATGTAGCGCTACAAGCCTCAATAGCTTTGTATCATACACTGTTCTGATCATGAGAACTCTGTAACTTCACTCTTCATCCTCCATTTTTTCTTTTTCTTCACTTCTCGCGCCAAGAGAACCTTTTAATTTAACACTTTCCATTGGTTATGTTAAAACTGTTTTTTTTTCAATGCATTACTCTTATTAATTAAAAATAATAAATTGAAAATAAAATATTTTTATGTAGAAAATAAAATATTTTTATGTAGACCAAATGTAGAACAAGTCAAAATGGGACCATTCAACCCGCATTATCACTGTTTCAACAAAAAGAACTTGATATTTTAAAATGTAACAAATTTCAAAATTATCTTTAAGAAAATGATGTGATAAGTGTATTATTTATATGTTATTTAAAATCACGTGAAACTTAAGGATGTTTTGCAAATTTGATAAAAAGAACTAAGTTTGTATATCTTAAAAGAAATATCTGATTGAAAACTTTCCAAATGAAATTAAGTTTTCTTTTTTTATTAATGTTTTCTTCATGATACTACAAGTAGTAATGTTATAATTACTTAAAACCTCTAGAACATGACTCATGTCTCTTTATATTAAACTATTCATTTAGAAGAGTCAAGTATTAAGAGTTTATGGTATCGTCATAGAATTTATAGCATCGTTCACTCATAAGTAATAAAGTTCGATGTTAAAAAGTACAATAACATTTTTGTAAATATTTTGTCCAGATTGACTTTGTTGTGAGGATGTCCGATGTTAATTTTCTTTTTAAAATTTAGAAATTGTATCAACACTTTTATTATTCTCTTTCAAATTTTCATAAAACCTGACATCAAACTTGTAAGTACTAAGATTCTTTCTCTTAAAAAATTTAGATTGAGACAATATATGAACAGAGTAACAAAAACTTGTGTGAACATTCAAAAATTCTTTATATTGTCCTTCTTGTAAAGTTAATTATCTTTCTTTGAAAAAATTTCGTTAAAGAAGGGTTGACTTTATGTAAAATTGATAATATATGAGAGTCAGATTCAGTCTACTTTACAAAGGCACAATGCTTTTTCATAGCCTTTATCAAAACATAGATTGTCCTTTAGCTCAAAACAGAAGTTTTCAAAGGAAGCATGCCCAAAATATTCTTCATATCTCTCAACGTTTTTATCTTGAGTATAGTGATTCTTATCAAGTCTTTCTACTTCTATAATTTACACAAATATCAAGAACAAGGTATACAAGCATTGAAATACTTGATAAGCGCTAAACTTAAACATTTTATCATTTGTCAATTCATTAATAAACACATTATTTAACAAAGCATATAATTATGAGACAATACAAAACATTAAGTGCTTATATGAAAAAGTTGTTTATGATTTACAGTGTTTATCATGTTTTCTTTATAAAAATATATTAAGCTTCAATGTATTTGTATAACATTGTTGGTAACACGTTATCTATTAAATGATTCTTTAATAGAAACGCTTCGTTGTTTATAAAATTGTCCTATAATCTAGTATAATCTAAAAAAACATTATTTTAATTTTGTTTTCATCTAGATGTTCCAAAGTATATTTCTCTTGAACACTGTTTATGTAAAACAATATTTCATTTTGAATGATATTTCATTTAATGTTTTTTTTTTAATTCAAAACCTGGATAATCTAATATCTAGACAAGTTAAGAATAACAATAAAAGGAATTAATAATTTTACATATTTTAAATTGATTTCTTTTATTTTGCCTCTTTTTTAAATACTTTTATTTTGCCTAAACAAGTTGGTCTTTTCAAATGATTTACGTTCTAGTCAAGAAATAAAATAGAATTTAGGTAAACTATCAATTTCCAAGTTAATGAGAATTTAATATTCTCAAAAAACTGTCCCCTCTCTCCCTGTAGCCATCCTCTATATTTATAANGCAGCACACTAGCAAAAGTAAAATTATTAGGGACAACAGATGATTGCCTCATTCGACAAAACAACTCCAAAGCCTCCCTACTATTTTCACTTTGAGCATATCGCGCTATCATGAGACTCCATGGAATAAGATCATCTTTGGGCATTTCCTCGAAAAGCCGCTGTGCCTCAGCAATCTCTCCAGACTTGGCATACAGCTCTAGCAACGCAGTACCAACATAAAGATCCCTATCATAACACGCTTTCAAAGCACATCCATGAACACTTTTCCCAACCTTAAATGCTTCTAGACCAAGACAGGACTTCAGCGCAGCAGAAATCGTAAAATTATTTGGTGCGTACCCCATAGTCCTCATCTTGCAGAAAAGTAGAAATGCATCCTCATGGAAATAATTCTCAGCATAGCAAGCTACCATTCCAGTCCAAGACACCATGTCCTTACAACAAATGCCATCAAAAACTGCACGTGCAGCACCAACATTTCCACAGACAGCATAGGCACTAAGTAGTGCAGTCCCAACATACGCATCAGAGTGATGACCAAGCTTATAAACATATGCATGCACACTCCAAGATGTATCAGCCAGCTCCATTCTCACCAGCAACTTGAGAAGTGTCGTGAAAACAAACTGGTTCACCTCGTATCCTTCTCTGAACAACCTGTGTTCATCAATTGGATTGAATCATCTTCGAAAAGAAAAACCTTCACATTCAATTTAATCCATAAAGCCACTTGGATTGCAAATATCAGGGTCTTTTGGGTGAATTAGGGAATCCCTCGGTGCGGACCAAGGACTAATCCTTGAGATATTAAGACTCATTTACGGGGTTAACCTCTCCCAACAAATGTTTTTTCTATACACACATACCAGAGATCAAACCAGACCAACCATGCCACTCAAAGCATCTCATCGTCTATAAGTCATTACATGTCCAATAGTAGTATAAACCCTTACAAATATACTATTAAAATAAACTTATGCAGTTTGATAATAATATTCATAGTCAAACTCAAACAATTACCAAAAACTATCTATAATTAAATATAATTTCATAAAAAATATAAATTGCGACGAAAATTTAAAAAAGAAAACATGAATTATATAAACTCAGGAGTGATTCTGTGAGTCATCAACAAATCAATGATAATTCACACAAATAACATGCATTAAAAAAATTTTACAAAAAATCCGAAATCAATGCAGTAAAAATAAAGTTCCGGTTATGGGGGTTTATGGGGTCCTTTATTTTTTATTGGATTGATTTACTAAGGACCCCACTAGCAAGCAGCAAACTTCCTAACTGGTGACTAGCGACCTAACTAACTAACTAGCAACTGGAATCGTGAAGATGCGTACCTGAGAAGCAAGTGAAGGGCGTGATGAAATTGGCCTGAACTGGAGAAGCCATTAGCCAAGGTGACGAAAGAGGCAGTGTTAATGAGAGGCATTTCATCGAACAGTTTGGTGGCGTCATCGAAGGAGTGGAAGTGGACGTAAGTATTGAGAAGAACGTTTTGGGCGAAAAGGTCCAAAGGGGCGCCTCGCTTGAGAATGTGGCAGTGGAAGCTCTTCCCTGAGTTGGGGTTGCGATTTTGGATAGCTTGTTGGAGCATGGTGGCGTAGGAATAGGAATCGAACGCATCTTGGTGATGGAAATGAGTGGAATAGAAGCAGTGGGTGATACTTTTGGCCTTGCCATGTAGCGCTACAAGCCTCAATAGCTTTGTATCATACACTGTTCTGATCATGAGAACTCTGTAACTTCACTCTTCATCCTCCATTTTTTCTTTTTCTTCACTTCTCGCGCCAAGAGAACCTTTTAATTTAACACTTTCCATTGGTTATGTTAAAACTGTTTTTTTTTTCAATGCATTACTCTTATTAATTAAAAATAATAAATTGAAAATAAAATATTTTTATGTAGAAAATAAAATATTTTTATGTAGACCAAATGTAGAACAAGTCAAAATGGGACCATTCAACCCGCATTATCACTGTTTCAACAAAAAGAACTTGATATTTTAAAATGTAA